ATCCCGTTACCGGTCAGTAAAAAAAAAAAGACAAAAAAACCAAGAAATAAGGCCGGCCCGTGGCTCACTCGGTAGAGTGCGGTGCTGATAACACCAAGGCCACGGGTTCGGATCCTATATAGGGATGGCCGGTTAGCTCACTGGCTGGGCGTGGTGCTGACAACACCAAGCCAAGGGTTGAGATCCCCTTACCGGTCATCTTTTAAAAAAAAAGACAAACCAAGAAATAAACCATAATCTTTTCTGCATCAAATATTGACCACTGAGATCCCTAACACACGTATACACACACACACCCACCCCCCTTGACCCCAGCTAAAGCAAGCAGGGGGCTTAGAATGGAAATTCCATGCCAAGGTCAAGGGTTTGGATCCCCATACCAGCCAGCCACCAAAAAAAAAAAAAAAAAAGAAAGAAAAGAAAAATGGGAGTTCCAGTCAGAGATAGTCAAGTTTGTAGTCAACACACTGTATGATACAAATATGTATAAAAAAGGTTGGGATTTTCGGCCGCTCACTGGCTGAGCGAGGTGCGGGAGCAGCACTGAGGGTTGCGATCCCGTAGCCGGTCCCGGTCCGGTACGGGCGCGACACTGAGGGTTGTGATCCGTTGCCGGTCACGAAAAAAGACAAAAAGGAAAAAAAAAAAAAGGTTGGGATTTTATTTCCAAGTTGGCACATACAGAAAAGGCACAGGGGTGAATGGCTTTGGGGCACTGCAAGTAGAAATGGGGAGAGGTGTGCCTGAGGTCCCCTTACCTCAACCACCCCCCCAGCACACTTGAGACTGGACCAGTGGCAGGGGATCCAGCCCAGGGCCCTGAGGGTCCCACTGGCTCTGGATGAGAGCCTTGGGGACAGCTCTCCAGGCAGGACACCCTCCTCCCAGGAGGCAGGGCTTGGCAGCTCCCCAGGCACCAGGGACCAGCCTCCCAGGGAAGGCTGGGGTCAGAGACAGAAGAGTAGGATGACAACCAGGAGAAGCATCCCCAGCAGCACCACAATGGCACACCACTGTCGGCGGTCTGGGAATGAGAGGGTCAGAGGTCACAGGAGGGCTGGTTAGTTAGCTCAGTTGGTTAGATCACGGTGTTATACACCAAGGCCAAGGATTCGGATCCCCGTACTGGCCAGCCACCAAAACGAAACAAGACAAAACAACAGAGCTCAAGGGGGAGAGGATACCACCCACAACACAGCCCCCTAGGATCCACCCTCCCGCAGTAGACTCACCACTCGTCATGTGGGATACTTTGGCCATCTTTCTGAGGGCCCCGCCCATCCGGGACTGGGTATGGTCCATCTCGTGAGCAAAAGCGTCCAGCATACTGCCAAGACCAGGATGGCATCAGCCTCCAAAGGGCCCATGTGCACCTGTGCCGCTGAGGACCCCCAGCCCACCTCCGGGGTCCTGGCCTCACATGCCCTGCTCGTCCAGCTCCTCCCCGACACGGCCGGACATGTGTTTCAGAACCCGGATGCTCCCAGATACCATTTCCAGCTGTTGATCTTGGTGGTCCATGATCAGCTGCAGAGTAGAGAGGTGGCAGCTGCTGTTGGCAGGGACCCCTGTGTGGTCTGCAGGCTTGTCCATCCCAGGGCCCCCAGCCACCCACACAAACCTGCTGCGTGGCCTGCTGCTCCTCAATGTAGCGAGAGGTGGTCGAGACCACGCTGGCATCCAGCAGGTCGCTGGGTGACTTCTGGCTAGCTGGTTTGCCCACCAGCATCTGAGGGGCACAGATCACAAGTTCAGGGCCAGCTGCATATTTGTGGCAAATCCACACGTGGTTAGTTAGGAAGTCAGTCTCTCGGGCAGGATGGCCTGGGTTCCCCAGACCCACTACTTACTAGCAACCTAACCCCACAGCCATGTCACTTAACCTCCCTGTGCCTCAGTCTCCTCATCCATAAAATGAGGAGAGCTATAATCTCTGTTTCCTGGGGTTGGAATGAGGATTTAGTGAATTAGTCCATGGAGAACAAAGTGCTAATAAATGTTGCCTTTTGTTATTTAAAAAATGATCTCATAATGCTGGGAGGCAGATGGAATCAGATGGCAGCAGACAGTCTGGGTCTGAATCCTAAGTGCATGAGTTCAGGCCCTGCTTCCCAGGGCTGGGTGCAGGCAAAGTGAATGCAAAGCATTTAGCATGGGATCAATCAATGGAACACTTATCATCATCATCATCATATCAATAGATATATATTAGAATTTGCACCTTAAATGGCAAAGCAGGACAACTGGAAGGCACATGGGCATTGCTATGGGATGCCTGACTGGTGCTGGCCTCAGCCCCTACCCTCCCAGACCCCATGTGGGCTTATGAGGGAATAGAGAAAGCTGGTGTCTCTCGACATGCAAAGAATGGACACAAAGCACAGAAGGAAAAGGTGGACAGATGGAGGTGGGCAGGGGAACGTGCACGGGGCAGGTACACTCACAGAGGAAACTGGTGTATATGTGGCGGGCAGGTAGGGATGCACTCAGAGGTCAAATGTATCTACTCAGATGGGTCAGGTGCTACACAGAGAAAAAGGTAGGCATACATCCTGGAACCAGGAGCACACAGAGCACATGGCATGTAAACAGAAAGGAGAATGGTGTACAGCCCCCCAGCCACCTTCCCACACACACCAGAGACCAGTGTTGACCCAGAGGATGGAGAGAGACACAGGGAAACAGATGCAGAGAGGGCTCAGGTGTACACATGCAGGAAGAGCAAACAGGTAGACAGGAAACAATTGCACACAGGATGGGCACTGAGAGAAGGGACAGGCAAACACACACTCATAGGTGAGGGTCACCCCGAGTCTGGGGGTGGGAGGCATGTTGGGTCAAGGTGCCTTACCTCTCGATTATTCCTCTCCATGAAAGCTATGGCTGCTGGGCTGACCACATGGTCCTTCATTTCCTGGGGATGAGGACAGCATTAGAGAGTAAAGACACCCTAACCTCCCCAAGTTCACCCCATCAGGCCCTCTCCTCACCTGGACCGCCTCCCGCATCCGCTCCACGAACACCTTTCTCTCCTGCAGGTCCCCAGCGGGGAGCTTGAATTTGCTTGGGTTGGCTTCCACTATACGTGGGCCGAGAGTCAAGGGTCAAGGCCAGAGCAAGATACTACGCCCCCTTCCCCCTCTCCAGCCCTCAGCACCTCCCAGGTGTCCAGCCTCCCCAAGAGCTGGCATCGGCGCCCCCTGCCACCGCAATGGGCTCTCCCATGCCACCACCCCCGAAAGCCACAGGATATCGATGGTCTCTTCCAGGTCCTCGAGGTCCCACTCAATGCTGCGCAGGCCATTCCGCAGCTCATTGGTCGTCCAGTCCAGCTCCTCGCGTTCGACCGCCGCGCCCTGCTGCAGGAGCTCGCACCAGCGCTGGTACAGCCCGCGAGCCGTGTTCACCGCCTTCTGCACTTCGCTGCGGGCAGGGGCACAGAGGGCGCGGCTGGGGACAGGCAGTCGTCCCACCCGCCCCTGCCCCCTGCTGTGCCCCCAAACGAATTAGAGGAGGGGCTCGGGAGACCTCTATATCCCCCTGCGGACCCCTCCCACTTGGCCTCGGGGTCACCGTGCACCCTGACGGCCGTGCCCAGGCACCCGGCCAGTGACTGGCCGAGGGGACTGAGCACCCTCTGCCCTCTCGCGTCGCTGACACTCACCCTCGGACTACGAAAAAAGGGTCTTCGAGAGACATGTCAATCCCCCTCCCCCCCGCCGAACCCCCTCCGGGATAGGACTTGGTAGCTCGTTTCCTCCTGGTGGAGGACGCGCCGCCACCCCTGCCCCCATTACGCCACCATCGAGAGCGGTGCCTCCAGGGGAGAAAGAGAGGCCTTGGAGGCCCAAAGTGCGGAAACTTCCGTCCTGTCCGCAGCCATCTTAGTTGTGGGCAGGGGCGGCTTCCGGTACGCATGCCCAGCCCCTTCATCTCTCCGTACCCCACGATGGGTGGTCGTGTTCTGATTCTGTCGGGCCGGGTTCGGGTCCGAGCTCGGAATCTCGGTTCGAGACCCATTCCCTCGGGTTGTGGCTGCGAAGCCTCGGTTCCCCTTCTGGGCAGCTTAAAAAATAATAGCCTCCTTTAACTCAGGCGGGATTATGGTTGGGGAAGGGCTCATTCGATTCTCTGGACCTTTTACCGGATCCCCTGAACTGGCTCCTGGATCCCGTCCTGGGGGATCATCCCAGCCCAGGGTCCCGAGTGGCAGGTTTGGGAAGGGCTGGGGGGAGAGGTGGTTCTCCCCTCGTCCCTGCGGGGGTGGCGGGAGGAGCGGGTATTCTGAGGGAGTTCTGCTGGATTCTCCCCTCCTCTTTCTCTTTCCTGCAAGGTGGGGGTGGGGGGCACCTCCAGGTCATCTTGGCGTGGGATGTCTGTGAGTGAGGACCCCAGAGATGCCCGGGGCCGTGTAACCTTCGAGAGCATGAGTGGAGAAGGGTTTCGTCGATATGTTTCTTCTGGGTGTTAGCCAGGGGGTCATGGGTGTGATGGTGGGCTCCAAGGGAGTCCTCTGCGTGTGAGGTCTCCGTCTGGGGAGGGACCACGAATGTCTGGGGAGGGATTCTTAGGAGCGCCCGCTGTGTGACAGAGGCGTCCTGTGTGGGGTCTCCGGGAAAGCACTTATTTGGGGGGAAGGTGGGCGGAAGTCATCGCCTGAAGGGGGGCCTGGTCTCTGCCTGGAAGGTGGGCGGGATGTCTGAGGGAGTCCTCGGAGCGTCGCCCCTGTGAGTTTCAGAGTCGCTGTGTGGGGTCTCGTGGGCTAGGCGAAATTGTGGAGTCTTCGTGGTATTTAAGGGGGCGGGGATGAGGCGTTCTCAGCAGGTCGCCGCAGTGTGGCAGGATCGTTGAATGGGGACAGTCTTTAGGTCTGTAGGGGGTAATAATTGTTGAGTCCCCACGTGCGGAGGGGTGTTGGGACATGAACGTACTCCAAGGGGGCATGAGGTGATCAGTTGGGGGGAGACCGGAATAACCTGGGAGGGGACCTTGTAGGGAGCAAAAATAACTGGGGTTTCCGTGGGAGGGAAGGGATAGAGGGGTCCTCAGCGGGTTGCCTCTTATGTTGGCAGGGTCGTTATGTAGGGTCTCTGGGAGATGGCATCAGTGGAAGTCCTGAGGCCGCCCCTACCGGTGGGCGAGATGCTTTCCCGGAGGGGCGTCAGGCCTTCCTGAGCCTCGGAGGGAAGGAAGCGAAATCTGCCTTTCTCTTCCCACCTGCCCAGCTGGATGCGGGTCAGGAAGCCCGGGGCTGCAGCCGGCGGGGGCTGCTGGGAGAGTGGGCGTGTCCGGAGCCCAAAGCCCCGCCCCCGCCCGGAAGCGCGCTACCGTCAGCTACGGTGATCCCGGCCCCTGTCCTTATATGGGCAGCCGGAAGCGGCTCGTGCGCCTGCAGCACGTCACTACTTCCAAATTTAGTTGTGGAAGTCAGTGGGCTGCGGTGGCGGGAAGACTCCGAGCGCCAGTCGTGGGGGAGGAGACATGCCACCCCTTAAAGGGACGGCACCGTGAATTGAATGGAACTATTCGAACAATTTTGCGTCCTTTAGAGGAACTGGGGTTAGGTTTTCTTGGAACGATAGCGTGTGGCGCAGGGTGGGGTCGATGCTTTCTATCTGCTCTTCCTCTGCGTTGCTCAGTTTCCAGCTCCCATCCGAACCCCGCTTCCTGGGGCCCCGCCCCGTCGTCTAGGAGGCGACAGCCACGTGTTTACAAGGACTGTTTGCGGCTGGTTCCGCTGCCGTGCGAGCGCCAAACCCATCCGTGGAGCTCGTGTTGCGGGAAACGGGGGCGGCGGGGGGAATGCTCGGTGCAGAGCGCGGGAACGGCAGCTCGGGTCTGCGGACATCCGCTGCCCGCGGTGAGGGCAATTTCGCTCTGGAGCCACCAAGTGCCGTCCGCCTCCTTACCGTCTACAAACAGGCAGAATGAGGAGGGCTGGCGTACGCTAGGGGCATAAGAGCTGGAGGCCCTAGTGGCCCCTTTTCACTGCGATATCCCATTTATTCTAGCAAATATCGGGCAAGTGACTCTGCCTCGGTTTCCCCACCTGAAGAAAACAGATATAACAGTCGACTCCGTGGAATGAAGGTGAGGGATCAGTGAGCTATTAATGAAAGGAAAGCGCTTAACATCCCTTGGCACGTAGTAAGCACTTAGTAAGTGCCAGTATCGTTATTGATTCAGAAAACTTTAATTAGACGCCTGGTATATGCGAAGAACAGTGTCAATGAGGTTGTACAGGTTAGAATCTGGGTCTTCCTGGGTGTGAAGGGAAACTTGCCGCCCACGAGCTGCGGGGGCCTCCAGAGGCAAGCACTTGGGTGGTCCCTGATCCCCACCCACGGGCCCCCTTCCTTTGGGCCTGCGCGAGGGTGCATCGGCGGGGCTCTGAGAAAGGAGACCACCCCGAAAGTTCAACGTGAAATGGGGGGACGCTCCTCCTTGCCTGGATTTCCGTCCCTTCCCCCCCCCAAGCTGGGTAAATTCCGCTCTATCGCTTTAAGGAGTCTTTGGCCACAGCTCGGTGGAAAGCCCGGATGAGGCCCTCTGATTGGGCGGGGCGCCTCCGTGACGTCACTCAGGGTATAAAAGGGCCCGGGTGACTGGCGCCCCGGCAGAGCGTCCTAGCGGTGTCGCTGCGTGGGTCGGTCTTGGGAGAGAGGTGTGAGCGAGCGCGTTGTCTGGAGTGCACCTGCTTCCCGTCCTGTCTATTCCCGGAGTCTCCGCCGTCGAGCCGCCATGGAAGTGCAGAAGGAGGCGCAACGAATCATGACCCTGTCCGTGTGGAAGATGTACCACTCGCGCATGCAGCGCGGTGGTCTGAGGCTGCACCGGAGTCTGCAGCTGTCGCTGGTCATGCGCAGCGCCCGGGAGCTCTACCTCTCGGCCAAGGTGGAGGCCCAGGAGCCCGAGGTGTCCTTGACTCCCGCCCACTGCCCTGACCCTCGCCTGCACCCGCCGCGGGAAGCGGAAGCCGCAGATGAGGCAGCGCCCTCCGACGGTGAGCAGCCCTCCCCGGAGCCCATGGACACTCAGGAAGCTCCTCCGAGAGCCGAAGAGACCCTTGCTCGCTGTGCCCCGCGCTCCGCCAAAGTCAGCCGCAAACGGCGGAGCAGCAGCCTGAGCGACGGCGGGGACGTCGGACTGGTTCCGAGCAAGAAAGCCCGTCTGGAAGAGGAGGAGGAGGAGGAGGGAGGCGCATCGTCGGAGGTCCCTGATCGCCTGCAGCCCCCTCCGGCGCAAGCGGAAGGCGCCTTCCCCAACCTGGCCCGCGTCCTCCAGCGGCGCTTCTCCGGCCTCCTGAACTGCAGCCCCGCCGCCCCCCCGACGGCGCCGCCCGCGTGCGAGGCTAAGCCGGCCTGCCGCCCGACGGACAGCATGCTGAACGTGCTCGTACGGGCAGTGGTGGCCTTCTGAGGACCCCGAGCGGCGCTGCCGGAGCCCAGAGTGCGGGCCGAACCGTCGGCCCGAGTGCGCAGACCCGGGGCGAGGCCCCCACCAACTTGGGGGAGCGCCCGCGGAAGCCGTGGAGAGGAGCCACTGCCCGGGCTGCTAGAGACCCGGAGAGGGACTCTGTCTGCCCCCGGGGAGCCGCCGCCATCTCTGTGCAGCGGCGGCACCGAGGAGTCTGAGCCGGGGGCGCGGGCGCCTTCCGCCGAGACCTGCCGCGCCCACAGGTGCTGTCTTTAATGGACTGGGACAGGATCGTTCCCTCCTCTGGACTGGGAGAAGGGAGACTTGGTTCTTTAACCTCCTCAGGGTCGGACTTTATTTTTTACTAGGGGCTGTGCTGCCCTCCCAAGGTTTTCAATAGTTGGGGTTCGCATTTCCAACCTCAGAGAATTCCAGGCGCTCTCCTTCCCCCTCTGGTGACATACTTGTGCAAGCGGTCATCCTTGCGTCATGGGGCAGATGTGGGAGCTTCCTGTTGCCTTGCGTGGGTGTGGGGCCTGGGAGGAGGGTCTGGGGTGTGGACCCGCCCTGGGGAGTGGGAGGAGGGCGCCTGAGTCACTTCGCCCCCGCGTGCTGCTGGTTAGTGCCCCGCGCCCCTGCGTCTTCGGGTGGGAGCGGGGACTGATGTAATTTCAGATTTAAATTTTTCTCATCTGGTGTGTTAGAGTTGGCCAGTATGTTCTCAGTCTCAAGCGTGACCCCCCCAGACACATGGACACAATCAACCCAGACGTTCTGGTCTGGGTCACGAAAGTGGGGGTATACAAAGGGACGGTAAGGCTGAGCTGGGACCAGTTGCTGTTGAGACTGGGCCAGTTTGGGGAAGGGGGGATAGGATTCTTTACAGGGCGTTTCTGAGGGCCTGCTGACCTTTCCTGCGGTGGATTCTGTTTAATTCTGTCTACCTGGCGTTTTGTTAGAAATATCAGATAGGAAAATAAAGACTATTTGCGTAAAAAGTCTATGCTCCCTGTCTGGATTTCTTCCCTGGCGGGGGAGGGGCAGGGTTAAGGGGTCAGGAGCTGGCGGCGGCTAGCTGGGGCCCCAGGAACCGGTCTGACCAGTTACCACGTGGACGGCTGAGTGGGTCGGGAGGGGGTTGGGCCCCTTTTCTTTGCCCCAGAACTTCCGTGCTGGTGGCGCTCCACTTCGACCCCCGTTAACTGCTCCAGGTTTGTGGTTCCCTCGAAATACCCCTACAGCTCTGGGGGAAGGTTTTCTGTAGTAGAGACATTCTTTGGGGGAATGCTGCTGGGTACAGTGCCCCAAGCGGAATGGGGGCCGTACGTCCTTTGGAGCCTTGAAAGATGGCAGATCTCGCCGCCGCCCCCACCCCACACTTTACCAATTGAGTCAGCTCTGGCAGGGGTCCCATGGCCTGGGATGGAGCTGAGCCGATGAACTTTGAAGTGCCCTTTATACCCCAGTTCCAATCTCTCTGGAGGTATAGCTGTGTGGCTCAGGCAGAGGTGAGCTCCCAGCCTCAGTTTCCTTATCTGTGAAATGGGCCTCAAAGCAGCGTGCCCGGCACCTGCGGGTTTAGAAATGCCCCTGAGAGCCCTAGTTATTGGCTTTGGTCCCGCCCCAGCTCCAGGTTAGCCACTCCGAGAGGAGAAAAACCCTCTTAATTCCCACCCAAGTTTGGTTTTGGAGAGGGGCTGTAGGCGTTGCCGCACAGGGCGCGCGCGCGTGTGTGTGTGTGTGTCGGGGGGGGGACTGTTAGGAGGACAAAGGAGCCGCAGGTGCGGGGAGTGGGGACTGCGGGAGGCGCCGGGAAAGAGCCCGCCCCGCCCCCCGACGGCTGGCTGTGCCGCCGTGGGCCTCCCGTGACCCCGGGGGACTTGACCCCGAGGTCTCAGGATAGAATAAGGGTGCCACGGAGGGGCGGACCCGCTGCAGACATCCGCCGGGGGCATCTTAGGCCTCTGGCTCCACTCCCGCTCACTCCAACCAAACCTTCCCCCTTCCTAAGTGGGGTGTGAGGGGGAGCGCTCCCCAGCCCCTGCCCCCCGGGATATCTAGCCAGGCGCGCCTCCACTGCCGCCTGATTCCTTCCAGGAAAGCGTGGGGGACTTTTTAGCGCCACCCACTCGAGTCCCAGCCCTTAATTCCCAAAGGGGACATGGGGGGACTGGAGCCCCACACCCCTGGCGGTAGCTCAATATGTCTTCTTCGGAGCAACTCCCCCGCGAGGCTGGCCCGGCCCCGGGAAGTCCCCGGCGGCTGGGGAGGGGGCCTCAATGCGCATCCTGTCGCAGGAACCGCGGGGCCCTTCCTTCCGCGGGAAGCGGCTAGGCCGACCCCCGCCCCCGCCCGGGCTGCCCCGGGGTTTCCGGTGCCCAGCCACGGGGGCTGGGGGCTGGGGACTGGAGACGAAGGGGCGGAAGACAGGACTGGAACAAGTACCCGACACACACGCACATCCCCTTAAGATATATCCCTCCCCAAGACCCCATTTTACCCATCAGAATAGGCAAAATGGAAAACTTGTCACAACAGAGGACAGCTGTGAAGCCTGGAGTTTTGAGGCCATTACCTGGGACAGGCTGTCTGGCGAGTCATCAATTGGACAAGAGCTGTGAAAACTAAAAGTGCCACATCTCCTGTGACCAGCGGATTCCCCAGGGAACTCCAGGACTGCAGCAGGAGACTCTAGAAGGGTGTTCGCTGCAGTGTAGTAGGAAATCGGCACAATTTGGAAACAATCTACATGCCCATCCAACCGGGAGTGGTCCAGGCCATTGTGGACTACCCATGGATACTTCCCAGAGGATAAAAGGCCAGAGCCAGACAGACCTATACACACACACAACACACGCAACACAGATAACTCAAAATCCTGATGCTGAGTGACAACAGCGAGCTGCAGAAGTCATGGGGTAAGGAGCACATATTCTGGAGCCACACGGCTTGTTGGACAGCCCTGAGCAAGTTACTTCACATCTCTGGGCCTCAGTTTCCCTGGCTGTAATTGGTGACAATAATAACCTCTTAGGTTTATTGTAAGGATTAAGTAAGATAACACATACAGAGTGTTTAACAGAGCGCCTGGCATGCAGAAAGCACTCTTATGTGTTATTCTTTTATTATTGTTGGACCTAGGGATGGGAAAGGTGCTAGACATTAATTTATTTAGGTGGCTGGCCAGTGCAGGGATCTGAACGCTTGACCTTAGGGTTATAAGACTGCACGCTAATCACCTGAGCCAGCCGGCCAGCCCTGATGCTGTTCCTTCTACCTGCAGTGCTCTTCTCCCCGACACCCCTAAGTCCATCCTCACTTTCCTCAGGTTTCTACTGAAATGTCACCTCCTTGGGAAGGTTTTCTTTGGCCACCCGATGTAACACAGCACCGTACTCTGTCATTCTGCTCCCTTATCCTGCTCCAGCCTTCCTTAGAGCACTGTTCACTGCCTGAAATTATACATTTATGTTTTATTTAGCATCTGCACCCCAACTCAAATGTCAATTCCACCAAAGCCCAGCCCAGGCCTGAATGAGTGAATGAGGTTGTCTTGGGTAAGCAGGTGCTAAGTGCTTAATATTTATTATCTCCTTTAATCGGTGTCTTCCTCATGGCTCTTAGAATAGAATTTCCCAAACTTCAGATGGCTGAAAGTCAAGATTTTTGTCATGTCTTTGTATAACTGCACTATTATTTACGTAATTAAAAAAAAAACCCACTTGTTAATTACTTAACAGGTAGCAGTTTTTTTTAAAGTTACAATGAAAACAACAATGTCATAAGATCCTGCTGAAACAGTAGCCAGTTTGAGGTTCCAGACAGGTTTCTCCCTTTACAGAGAGAGATTAGCAGGTGTTAAAGACACATTATTACCAGGGGAAGAAGACTGTCTTTGGGTTGACATCTGCAAGCTGAAAAGGGAGAAATTCTGAGAGATTCGTTTCACGTTATTTAAATCACGTTCAATCATTTTGTCACACTGTCCGAGAGTTTGGAAATTCTGCTTCTGGAAGAGGGACAAAACCTGTGATTGTCTGCAAGGACCTATTTGATCTGGGCCCAGCCCACCTATGGTCTAATCTTCCATCACCCTCTGGCCACACTGACCTGCTTTTTGTTCTTCATACTGGTACAATCTTACTTGCCACATATACTGTGACCTTGGTCACTTATTTAAGACAGCTCATGCAAGGGGCAAATCTTCAGGGAAGTGTCCCCTGTCTGCACCACATTTTCATTCAAGACCCCTATGTTTATTGACACTCAGATCAAGAGCTACTTTTAACATTTTTATTTTTGGTAATACTTATCATAACTGCAATTTTATATTTGTTCCTGGCTTTGTCTTTTCTTCGAGTCTATAGCCTCCACAAGGGCGGGGACCAAGTCAAGCAGGTACTTGAGTGTTTTTGTGAATGAATGATACATTTGCAACCTTCCTTTGAACGCTGATCTTTTTACATCACTTTTTCCAGATGGGAAAACGGAGGCCTAGAGAAAATTGCCCTGCAAGACAGCAAGTAGGGGAGGCTGTAGTCGTGCCCCACTTCCCGAGGTCCTCTACCCCCTTTTCCCCGTCCCGCTATGCGCTCAAGGGACGGGCGCCCCAGTTCAGCCTCAGTGCAGCTGGGAAAGGACAGGGCCGCAGGTCGGGATCAGCCCAGAAGCAGCCTCCAGACCAGTTTGCCCGGTTCTGGGACCCTGGGCGAGGTCCACTGACCCCGAGCGAGGGAGACGACTGAGGCCACGCCGTGGCCCAGTTGCCAGCCGGGCGGGGATGGGACTCGATCGAGCCGCGGAAATTTGAGCCGGAGGCCGGGCGCTGGGGGTGGATAACGAACCAACGCGCGGGGGCGAGGAGACTGTCAATCAAAAACCAGGGGGCGGGACATGCAAAGTATGCCCCGCCCCTCCCGGGCCCCGCCCCCGCGCTCTGCAGCCCTTGACTTCCAAGAACTCCTCCCAGTGTTGTCGGTGGTCCGGGCCACGCCCCTCGCCCC